GGCTATGAGGACCGGACTACCTTTGACGGTACATTGTAAATGAAACCTAAGAATCAACTAATAATGGGTGACGTTTTCAATAAATTCCGTGATGAATTCTGCCAACGGGTAGCAGTCCCATACAGGCGACAGTTGTCTCCAGGTCACTTGCTCACGCGTGACTGCAACCCACCAGATTAACATGCCGCACGGTCAGCTGACAGACAATAGCCATGATCCGGGTCACATAGGTCCTCGCAGGCGTGTTGCAAAGCGCGCAACGTTGCCCCGAAGCTCACCTTAAGTTAACTTTGATTGGTGGTTTGTGATAGGCTTGCGGATGATCAACCGGGGGAATAGTAGATGACAGTTGACAAACATTTGTAGGTGCTTGACAAATCCCCGCTCTCTCAGTGGCAAACACGGATGATGCCGTTCCTCTAAAATGGCTTTGCTAAGAGAAACTGGATTACTGTCCACTGAATGCTCCTACACATGCCTCAGGTAAGATATGATTGGAGAGCAGTATTCCAAATGATCTTAGCAAAAAAGAACTGCATTTGTGCATCTAAGGGGTGCCAGAACAACAAAATCGAAATTGCATTCCCTACATCTCTAACCTTTCAAAATACACCCACTTGCAAATAGATTCCCAGGATGACAACACCAGTTCAGAAATAGAGTCACTAATTGATTTTAATGCCAATTTCGACTCGGGCCGAAGGAATGCTAGGTCAGACCATCAAAGACAGCGGCATTTCGGAAGGTCAACGACATGGGTCAACTTAGATTGGTGGTAGGTTTCAGATTGTGGACATGGTCCGTTAGCTGAAGTGTTCTCCAGATGCATCAGCCACCAAATTTCCTCAACCCGGCAAAGCAAATGAGTCACGTTTAGCAGCCGCAAACAAGAACGGTTTGGGATTGCAGCCCCGTATATTGAAACTTCCTATTTACTGAACATCGTACCAAGACCACAGACGCTTCCGAAGACGACAGAACATTCTGCATGCACCGTTTTGTTGGAATATTTTATGGATCCCTACAGTGTCCCCAGGCAGCATTAAGGGATCGAAAAATACGTTGAAGTTCACAATCTGGATTTCTAAGACATCAATGAAAGGGTAGGATTCTTTTGGAGGAGTAAAACTCTTATATGTTCATCATCTTCAGATAAAAAGTCAAACCAACCAACTTTAGCAACCATACAGGGAAGCACCTATCGAGCCGTCACGAAAGTTCGCGGGCTGACCAGTGTTATTGGAATTGTCAGAATCCTAAGAAAAGAGGTTTTGCCCCATCCAGTGGTTTTCAAGTTTATGGAGTGCCGTAACAAGAAGCATTTATATCACGTAGTTAAGGAGAACAGGCGAAAGGACACTGCCAAGTTTGACTCTAGTGCTGAAGGTAAAGTATTAGCTCACCTGGTAATGTCTGATAGCTTGTTCGCGTTCCTTCCTAAATAAACCTTAAGAAAGCTAGTTTTCGGCCCATAACACTGAAACCTATGGTTTTTCCTCGTCTAAGTCTGCCATATGAAAATAAATTACGCGAGCACACAGCGGTATACTGAATGATGAAGTTTTCTTCTGCAGATTCCGGCAGGGGTTAATACCCGGTTTAAACAGCCCCAAACGAAACCGAATATGCCTTCGTTCTTCCTTGTCTATTTGTATCCAGAGGCCCGAAAGCGATTTGGACTGTAAATTTGCCCCATTCCGATTTCCTCCTCCAATAAGGGACCGGACCTCTCCTGCTCCAGTTTTGTGGGACAGACTTAGTCGATGAAAGACCTTCTGGTACAAAAAATTCGAACGGCGTAGTCCTTCAATCGGTTTTAGCATATGCGGGGTGGATAACTTTTAAAAGTTTGGCAGCGTTAACGGCCTAGTCTATGCTCGCTATATGTGCCGGCCCCTAAGATGGTGCATGTCAAGAACTACCACGGATAAGTTTTCGTTCGCAGGGATGCAGTCAAGTTGTGCGGCTGCCCGCCCCTCATTGCAACACTACCGCAAGAGACATCTTTTTGGGTAATAAAACCCAACGCTGACCACAACCCCTTAATGGGTTTCAGCAAGGCTGCAACGCCGGTTTTTCCTGTCACCGAGCCAAAGTTCCAGAAGAGGGGCGGCCGGTAGATAAGTTATCCCTGCTGGCCGGCGCGTTTTAATTGTCTGCCATGATTATAGCGCCCCCAAGCTGAGCCGAGGGTAGGACCTCTTACAAACGGTTATGGAAACAATTCTCAGCGTCAGCACCATTGAGAGCATCTTTATGTTGGCAACTGCACCTCTTAGACAGACACAGATCCCCACGTTACGGACACTTTGTTCACCTTCTAGGTTAGCTTACTGACCGCCACACTCGTCATACACGTAGTTTGCTCTTCGTAGGCAACGAAGACCGCCGCTGTCCCGAGAGCCAGGTACCGACATGCGCGACACCGAACGCACTCTTTTTATACCCATCCTCCTACATGAAAAGGTTTGTTATTAGAACTCCTCTAGTCAGTGCCTGCGAAACCAAATTCGACCCGAAGACGCTGATTTAAGTGCTTTATACATGACTGAGTCGCCAAACATGTTTGTATGAAATAGTGTTCAGTGGAACCAACTGCAGTTTCACGTGACGAGTGCCGCCTAGTGGGATGGTGAGGGACCATATTCTTGTCTCATAAATAACACGGTTAGCAAGCGCCTATCGACTTACATCACAGGAGATTCGACGAGACATCTGACACTAGTCCACCATGACTTCCTTGGACTTTATCCGGTTTCGAGAATGTATGTTCCAGTCACAAATAACACATCTCTTCACGTGATTCCCAGTGGCAGTGGATTTGAAGAGTTCGACCCATGCTCTTCTTAGGCATAGAAGACTGCTTCGAGGTAGGGCGGCGCTGGATTCAAGGCAGTAGCAGAACACCGATGTGATATGGGGCCAGTATCAACAGGCACCTTGTAGGTTCTCTCCAGTATTGCAAGAAATTCTTCCCTAGAAGAGGGGCCACACGAAACTGTGGGTTGTAAGACAGAACTGTGCCATGGGAGAAGGCAGGGGAAGTTTGACCAGCGAATCTGCGCAGTCCGCGCTCTGATTTGACCGCAAAGACGCCACGGCGTTACTCGCCGGAGGAGTCACCACTTAGAGAAAAAGTTGCTCAAGTTTCCGAGTGTCACCAACGTTCGAGGTTCGTTCCCTAAGAGGCCACTTCGGCCTAATAACTTATGGTTTACTCGGACCTTTTACTTTACGCGGTTGGTAGTAGGGATCGTGACTGCGGAATCCGGTCTGGGTCTACTAGTCAGACAACTGTAAGGTTCTCGTGCTGACCGTATAGTCGTGTGGCCACCGGATGGGATTCAAGCATTATTTCACCACTCGCAAGCCGACTTCAATGAGATCATCTGCAATTGCTTCGTCGATTAGAGCAGCAGATCGATACCGGATTTTTGTGTTCACGACCTCGGTTACTTTGGGTAGCCGTGCATTTGCACAAGTATGCCTGATGGAAGGTATTTCAGACGCAGGTAAACCCTCGAGCGAGCGGAGAACAGAATCCGACCCATAATTGTTGTCGGTTTCGACAACACAGCGGTTTGCGAGCACGCACATAACTGCAGGATACAGGCTAACTAGGATGTGAGCGAGCACACTGGTCGCACTTGGGCATCAGGTTTGCATAAATACGAGCACGCGCTAGGGGTGAACGGTCAGTCCTGACCTACAGAGCTCGTCTCCCCTATTATCGAATCGAGAGCCAGGTCGAACGCGACCAACTGTGCTGGTCAATGGCTGATGTTGAGCCGCAGCCACGAACGACGCAACTGTTGCTACCGACCTTACCGCAGTAGGTCGTCGACTGGTTCGCACACCAACAATACTTGGTACTTAGGCTCCGAGGGCTATTGTCCAATGGTGTCTACCGGACGATTGGGAGTGAACACCCAGTCAGAGTGAGAGTTGGTCCCCCGTCCTCCAGCTCGAGTCTGTAGTTGGGCCAGGCAGCAGACACCTGCACTATATTGGTGAAATAGACCAAGTTGTGGTGCCAGGGTAGACGGAGTTTGCACGACCCAGCATCCGGTTACAAGGCTTCGTCTTTGATTGAAGTGCTTGGCTCAGAAACCACTCACGGTAAGACTGGCCTAGGGATGCGGTCAAGGTCGTGGGGCGGATCGAAGAAGAATGATAGGACACGCGCCGCCATAAACTACACAAGATTCAACCAAAAAGGTCTAAGTACAGCCGCCACCGGCTTAAACTAAAAGCCATGACTTGTTCAAAAACAAGGATGATCACGGCTCATCAAATGGGTAGTCGAAATCGTCCTGGCCTCAAGCAGCATATAGTACTGTCCCCTCAGCGTGACCAGCCGCATGGCTTAGGCCGTTATGTGGTAAAAAAGTTCACTACGAACCTCGGAGTACAAAAACGAATCAGTAGTTCCTGACCATTGAATATCTCAGACACGATCCGAAGCAACGCGGTATCACAAACGAAAACGTTAGAAGACCTTCACAAACCCGGTTAATCAGAACTGTGGACCCAGAAAAGACAAGACGTGTACGTCACGACCAACACATGAAGTGGTGCGGAGTCCCCAAGGCCATCCGTTACAACTAATCCCTAGAAGCAAGAAGACATTTACTTTACATGCAATTTCTGATCGTGCAAAATTGGAAACAGAGGGATCTGCTGATTGTAGAGGTCGGCAACCAGCCTGGAAATGAAAAACCATACACATATAAAAGCCAAATATGGGTTGGAAATGCATGAAATGAGAACAAGAATCTTACAGGGTGGAAGGGTCGTGTGGGGATAATGACAGACAGCAGGCCCTTTTATAGTAAGATGGGCAAATGTGGGGCAACCGTAAACGATATATTGGCGAGTGAGACATACTCATTAATCAGTCTGCAAACGAACGGTTAACTGAACAGCGGTTGGACGGCTCCCACAGGCTAAGCATGCATTTAACTATTCAGTAAACATGAAGATCATCATATTGCAGGTCTTCAATTGGCCGGCTGTTCATCCTTTTTGTCTTTCTCATCTGCCTCCACAATCTCCGCGGCTGTCGACTCACTGGGCTCTTCGCCCTTATCTTCGACACCTGCGTCCTTTTCAGCACATGGCTTCGCTTGTTCTGCAGGCGTCTCCTCATGAGTCTCCGCAACTGGATTCTTAGATTTTGCAGGGTCCTTTGAGTCCCCTTCTTCAATCTTCATATTTGCCAGTTGGTCGCCAATGGAAATCTCTGAAAAATGAAGTGCTGAATGATAGGGTTTGTAATACAAGGAGATGAAGCACTCATGGCGCTTGGGGCCTCCGAATTCCGATTGTGCTCACTGTCTTCATGACGTGAATAAACAACAAGGAATATATAATGCCATCGGGGTCGGCATTGCGCGGCCAGTCGCTCCATCAATCTGACTCGCTCTGTAGTTAATACTGAGTCAAGAAGTCGGTTGAGGGGCTGACGGCTAGTGAATAACTCGGTCTTTCTAAAGGTTACATTGTAATGTCTTTTTTATAATGAGGTCCTGCAGAACCTCTCAATAACGTGAGATCCTAAGTTGGAAAATCGACCCGTGTGGATCGAGAAATTGGAACGTGGATTGGCATCTGATCTCCAGTCGCCTGAACCTAGTAGTGCCGCTGGGACATGATGGGCGTGTGGGCGTTAAGGTCTATGCCGCAAAATCCCACCCCACTATCACTCAGATCACGCGGGAGTCGCCATTGTCTATGCAGACAGTAGCGACTGTAGTAAACTCAGCTGGACGTATTATCGGCAGCCCTGGGCGGAGCCATAAGAAATGGCCGCCCGTACCCGCATTATCTTAAGTCAGGTTGTCAACTGCTGACGAGAAAGTAACGAGTAAGACTATTGAAGCTGGTAAATACCATAGGAAAACGATAACAAATAGAAAATTTTAGCGTAAAAACGGTCGCTCAAGACGAGTTTAAGGTATAAGAAGTTGAGCGAAATTCGGGAGAAACAGATTCGTCGAAAAATGCAGAACAGTTTCCGGAACGATGAAAATAGGATTTTCACCAACCTGCGACGTGAACTATCTAAAGTCTATATGACACTGTCTAGATAAAAACGCGAAATACTTTAGATGATAAATTTGATTCTTTTGGAAAAAAAAACAGTCAGCGACAAAGATCCGGATCTGGATGCTGTATAAAATAGGCTTACCGTCTGATGGTTTTCCCTCATGGACCTGCTGTTCGTGTTCCCCCGAAGAAGTGGCGCCAGCCCCGTCGTCACCGCTAGTGGGTTTTGAAGGCCGATTTCCATTCATAGGACGGCCACGCCGGAATGGCCTCCGACCTCGACGAGGCGGGTGCTGGTCTTGATTGACTGGTCCGTTTGCCTCTCCTTCACTGTGTTGCTGACGGGGTGCTGAGTGCTCATAGCCACCCATACCTATGCGGCCGCGACCTCGGCGTGGTCTTGGGCGAGGTCGGGGAGCACCACCAGTTGGCGAGACACCACCACCGTTCTGGGCATCACTGCCGTTAGCATAGTCACCCATACCATCGTGGCTCTAGAAGAGAAGACCGGAATGGTCGATCTCAAATGGGGATGAGGAACAGGGACTGACAAGTTACCAGGCATTGCTTTAAGTGCGGTCAGGCATACCGTTCTGGGGGGTCGTCGTCCGCTTCCACGCCTGCGGCCTCGAAAACCGCCGCGACGCGGGCCTTCAACATCCCCGCCGGGGTGCGTTCCATTCGCCTGGACAGGTTGATCACCGTCGTGCTCTGATGGACCAGGAGCGGCATCTTGGGTTGTACCCGGTTTGCCAGTAGCACGACGAAAGTAGCGTCGAGTACCCTGGAGATGAAAGATTGAATATGATTATGTACGAGTACCCAATCCAAATTTACATGGTGCCCAAAGGCATAAAGGGAGTCAAAATGGAGGCCGTGCCAAACTAATAGAATCAACATCGGTAAATGCAGACGGAAGATTTGACACCAGAAAATTGTCAATCATGCAAAAAATTTTGCCCACCGAGGATGACAGTACCCAAAGAAAGGATGTTCCTAATCCAAAGAAAAACAAACAGCGAGACTTTGCCGTATCAAAAAATTTTGCGACCACTTGTCAACTACCGCCTGTCGTTTCATAACATGAAATACACGACTTGCTCGATAACAGGGGTCACTTACAAACGCGATTAAGGAAGGCAGAGAGGATGCGTGAACATAACGACCAGAGATTACCTGAGCAACGTCAGGTTTACTCCATGGCCTGTTTTTGTGCAGGCCAGGTTTCTTTCTTCGAATGTAGGTTGCTTCGAAGCAGCGCAAGTATCGGCAAGGCTTCTTTGGGAAAGACTTTTATATGTTGTCGTACCTTCTTTCACTCAATCGATTGGATTGTAGAGGTTAAAAATTGCACTATCTGTATGCTGTTACAAGTATTACTGGAAAAGTGGTGACCGAGTGATCAATAAAGTTTAAGATTTTTGATACAAAATAACCGGCTTGTTTGCGGCAGTTAGGTAGCACCAAGTCCTGGAGTGCATATACTTTAAAGCAACAATAAAAGCAGTTGATCGGACTCGAGGCTGAGCCCACAGGGGGTCAGGAAGGCGGCCGCGAAAAACAGGACTCATCATCTGGAGTGGCAAAAAATCGCCTCGAAACTCCTAAAAGGACATCCTCACCACACGGCGATTCTGGGTAGCGTGCGGACGTGACGCAGTCTGGCCATGATGCGCAAAATAACTCAAAAACCAAGCATTTTAAAATGCGGCGCCGACTATGAGCAGTTTTCAGTGGCGCAGAGTTAAACAGGAGCGGAAGTATGGGGGCTAGGTAGGAATCAAAGGACAAAAATGAAATCGGATTACACTAGTAGCTGGGATGCCGGTAGCGTAACAACGGCAAAACGCAAAGTTTCTTTACTAATAACCCAGTACTTGCCATCCAGGGACTCTGGTACTGACCAAATAGAAATGGAAAGGATGAATAAAGGAGCCTCGCGAGAACTGCTATGTTATGTATACAAGTGTTCAAACGATAACACAAATGTGAGCTCCATATGGGAAGTCAAAAAAGAATGGCCATTTTTGGCGTCCATGTTAATTTACACTCATCTTCGCAAGGAACCAAGCCTCTTTAGTGTGCTAGTAAGTCCTGTGCTAACGGAGTAAGAACAAAACAAATATCAGTCGGACATCAGAGTGAACACCATAAATGAAAACCCGTAACCCACGAATAGGCGTTAGTGTGAATTGACCAAACAGCGCAGTTTTAGCCATCCGCAGGATGACAGAGGGTATAGCGCCCCCGATTATGCACAGGCCGGCGCGAACAATGAGTCCGAAAACCCCTAAAAGCGCGTCTCCATTCGAGTGGGTACGTGTAACCACATAGGCATAAGATAACGTTTCTGTCGTCTACCTTTAGCGCCAACGTCAACTGCCGACCAGTACGACAAAGAAACTTAATCGGAGCTGCATGATCATCGCCTTGATTTTATGACTGCTACCAGAGATTTGAATGGCCTGATTGGGCCTGGTGACTTCAAATAGTCACCCCATCGGCTGCTTTGGGCTTGGCTCTCGATTATATAGTGATAGCGGTCAGAACCGGGTGCTTCCAGCACAGCCATTAACATCCGCTGATCAGGTATTCAAAAGACGGTAATACGACCAGTTAGACTGACTACATTTTTGTCGGTCCACAGTTCCGTAGTCGGGTTCGTGATAGCAGACCGATGCACGGTGTCAAAAGCGGTAGCACCCGCTGGTCGGACCATGTTCTTATTGGTACAATCCTGAATGTCCACCACCATCCACAGTAAGTGTCCCATGCAAGAGGTCTTAGATTCGAAACAACAAATCAACACAGCGGAGGCCCTGAGCACAGACCCGAGTCATCAGTCTGGGACGGGTGGGAAAATTACTTGATTCACAAGCGACGTCACAGTGACTAGATCAGAGGGAGAACCTAGCAGTTGTCTGACCAGACGGTTGGCGCCACGTCTCACAACGATGATTCCTTCCACTAGCTTCGGAAAATGGCGGGAAAATCGGCTAGAGATGACCTAAAAATGTACTGGGCTGAGACAGCGACCTCCACGGAGCAGCCCACTATCGCTCCCAGCCGAGTGAACCCTGGTTCATAACAGTCCATCTCAGCCACCAGAAGTAAATTAGTGCTATACTTTGTCGCCCATCCTGTTCAATAAAAACTAATTAGTGACTATTCACGGTCGTCAAATATCTGTGCCACCGTTGCACTTTGCTGTAATTTATATGGCGGCCGCTCTCTGGCACTGAACAAAAGTAAATCATGATCTCCAGGTGCACTGCCGCACTTTATGCGTGCGATCTACGATACCATTGAGGCCGACTTCATCACGCAGGACTACAACCGTACGAAGTACGTGCTTAGGTAAAGTACAGTTTTCTCGCCAACCTTACCAATGTAGCACGGAGCTCGGAAATACTTACGCCTTTCCATTGTTTATGGATAAACTGACTGATTTAGCGACTCCATTCACTCTTGATATTGCGTCCTGCCGGTAACCGCAGCTAGGTACTAGCAAGGTACCGTAAGCATAGTCGGGGTCAGTCAGCCGGCGTTTGGGTCAAAATTCGACCCCGGCAAACCCATGTAGTATTTTTCAGAAAATCCAGCCAAAGACGTTGTGAAAAAGGATGGGAGACAATGTGCAACGCTAATGTCTGACTGACAATCTGGCGGCTGGGACGGACTGTTGTAAATTAGAACTCGCTCAGTGTAGAGCGATTGCAAGCCCCAAAAATTACTAAGTTCTATTTGCTATTTCCAGTCATTACTACTCTGCAATACCACCTCAATAGAAGCGTTCCTAACTCGTGTTATATTGTCACCGCACACTGGGATGACTTGCAAGTCCACCGCAGTGACGACAGCGAAAAGGTGCCTGGGAGTCCCAAAATACATCTGTCAGCCTTACTTTGTCTAAACTGTCGCAGAAGACTCGGCGGTCACATGGGCCTATTGAGTAATATTAGCACCCACGAAAATCCCCACTACAAAGTCAGAATCCCATCATACCTTACCACAGCTGCCCACGCATGAACCTATTTCATAGCACACGCATACCAGACATCCCTCCGCAACACAGGACACAATCCTTGTTCAGCGTGCCTACGATCCAGTGCCGGTACGGAGGGTGAAAGTCACATGTACATCTAACTTTAGAAGAAAGCATGCCAAGCGTAGCTCGCTGAATGGCGTGCAGACCCGGCCGTGTGCGAAGCGCAGACGGGTTATTTAGTCCTGCAAGAGACTGTCCAATCCCCTTCCTGGTCGGTCTGACTCGAAAAAGTTACAAGAACGTGAGGGATAGAAGGAAGAGTGAGGCTAATACCGGGAGGTCAATTCTTACGGAAAAGCTGCACAATCCCACTACAATAAATCTGACGCGTCTGATTTTCTCACAACGCGGAGTTGTGGCTTAGATCTTGACTGTCTTACAATCGGGGCGAGGCGCTAAGAGGTGGCGGTGCGGCAGATGCGGCTTAAGTCTGACCCACCATAAACAGATTCACGTTTGTCATCACTGTCGGTCTCGCCTCATTGGGTGACAGCGGACGTCGTCGCCTGCAAAGGTCGAACTCGCGTTTAGAAACGCCTCGGGGTGGCGTGTCTACGAGTTGGGTATGGCTGGCTGATGATGGCTGATAAGTCGGGAACAGTCGTTTCAGTCTCTCTTATTCCTGCTGGTAATGCTATTCTGCCTGTATTATACGCCGCTGTGAGGCTGCTGACGGGGCTCGAGAGAGCCCCGAGACAATGGGATGCGCGAGTACCGTAATACGATCGATGCGCGCCTCGTCCACCACCCATCACTAGTCTTGGGACGGGTTACGAGACGGAGGACTGGCGATGGACTTACCAACGCCTTACCACAAGGCTTGTCTAAGTTCGCTGTGAATAGCCAGCGTCAAATTAGGCTCCCCGACGTAAAGCGATATTAAGATTATGAGTCCTAGGAACACAAGGCCTACTTCACCACAGGAAACATGTCTGACCAATTTCCTGGTTACCGGAAACCCCCTGCACGGGACTCTATAACGATGAAAGCGTTACGCGCAATCTTAGCGAAGCCTCCGAAGTAAACAACCGAAAAAACTACTATATGCCCGGATGTTTTGTGGCCTGCTACGTGGATGCTTGTTTGTGGCCTGTACCTTCGCACTTGGAACCTGTTTGCCGAGGGATATAAAACAGGTGGGCGTTTGTCCCGTGAACCGAGCAATTCACAGTTGGGTAATACAGCAGCAGATGAACGAATGGAATGTCGAGCCCTTTAAGTATGCGAAATACTTGACGTATTTTACTTTGGCTTGACGACCGGACGACGAGATTGGATTCCTAAACGCGCTGGCACACTACACGGGTGTGACAAAAGGCTATGGCTGGTACACTCTAGGTTTTCACTACGCTAATAGTTTCCGTTGCGGCGAGCCCGCTTCCCGAATCGGTTTTGCTGCATACAGAGATGGGGAACCTTGGGTCTAAAAGTCGCCTTCTACTAGGACGGACATGACTGACTCGCGTTTTACGACCGGAGATATCTGTTTTTGATTTACTCTGCTTTCAGTCAGTCAACCGACAGCTCATCATCGGCGACTAGGGTTGAAAACGTGTGCATTCATACCGCATAGAAGTTTCACAGAGGGCCTAGTTGAAAGGTCTATGACATCGTATAATGAATGTCAATAACAAGCTAGCTGGCACTCGCAATCGCCATAGGTCGGACATTAATTCATGTATTTATTGACTACCAAAACGGGCGTTCACCTTGGCAATAACTAGACGGCACACGACTCCCACAACATCGGTTGGCTGTAAGACGCGCTTTGTGCCATCTCTGCCCGACAAATGGAATCTGCTTCTAAACTCAACCAGTGACATAAAAAGGCGTCGGCATCAAACGTTGTAGGCTGTTTAGTCAATCAGAACAACTTCAAGACCATCTAGTTCGCACGTCTGACAATTACACTTCAAGGTGGGGGAAAACCTAACTACATTTAATGCCGTGTCGGTGTGGTAGCAAAGCCGTCTTCAAGATGACATTTGGATTTTTTGGCTTGGATGTTTTCGCAAAATGAACTACGAGCTTCACACAAACGCCAACAAAATATTTACAAGCAACGACCTGCACGGCCAAGGTTCCTTTTACCTTAACGGGCTTTCCACCGGGTCCAGTAACCGAAGCAGCGTTTATTCCACCGGTCGTTTCAACGACGGAAAATTCAACGGGTTCACCGGTCTTAAGGGATGGGAACCGCTGCTTCGAAGCGGTGATGGCGGTTCGATGGACGAATACGTCCTCCTGATTGTCGTCTCGTTGGATAAAGCCGTAGCGACGGGTTATACTAAACCACTTTACAGTTCCCGTAACTTTCTCAACTAAAAAGGGTCAAAGATTTCAGGATACAATTGAAAATAAAAACGAATTCATTGATGCAAACAGTAGTACTGTCTGACAACTGGAAGGGCTGGAAAGTATGGAGCACGGGAGCAATTCAAGAGTTAATATGGCGGATAGATAAACATGCCCTGGCTGCCAAGGGGTCAGTGAGGCGAGAAGTATCCAGTCCTGACACTTAACCGTCGTCAAAAAACGAGAAATGCAAATGAAGTAATAGCATATAGATGCAGGCGCACTACAGGCGAGCCTGTTTGAAAACTAAGACATACAAGTCTTTAGTTATGAGCCCCTCCTTTGTTAGTCTTATTAATTTCACGTGTTTGTTTACAGGTTCTGCGTAAGTCACTGTTTACGCTTTACCGATAGGCGAACGTTTTATGCATATGTAGCAGGCAAGTAACGACCGGTTTGAATTCCTCCAGGTGGTTTCTAGTGCAGCATCTGAATGCGGGGTGCTAACCTAGGCGCCACAGGACTAATAAAGAAACTTGATCATGTCCACGGCTTGTGGAGCAAAAAAGTGCAGGGACGTGGGGGATCATAGTGAAATGGTTGTACCGACACTGTGTTACTCTCGAAATGGGACTTAGGCACAATCTTACCCAGGAGTCTTCCTTATTGCTGTTAATTGGCGTTGAGGTACTTACAATGAGGCCAACAGCGGAGACAGCATCAAGTCAATTCAGGAAGGAACGCCCAAAGAATACAACTCGAGCTTGCAGCACCTAGGTTTCATACTGTAGAGGGGCTGCCGTGGTGTTCACAAATCTTTTAAAACATGTCAGAGACAAACCATTACCAGTCGAACCAGTAAATTACTAATTCCTACATGATTAGCGTGAATGTTCGCGACTTGGCAATTTTCGGGAGCAGTTAAGGTTCGGGTGCACAAGGCATGACCATGAAGGGCAGGTGGCTCAGCAGGATAACAAAAGTGGGTGTAGGAATAGGCAGGCAATGCAAGACAAGGGCTGTTATTGATGAACCATCTAATCCATTTTCAAGTTGTCGGTAGTAATAGAAGTAGTAATAAACATGTAAACCATATGGGTGCCGTCGTCTACACCACAGCAAACTGCTCAATCGTGTGTCCAGACAATAAAACTAGAAAGATTAGGGTTACGGTGAAAATACAACATATTAGCGAGGTTGTTGCCAGGCCAACTGGGTGTGCGACCGGAACTAGAGGCGGAACAGTAGTTAATTAATGCTCACCGAGAACATTCAGCAATTCGAAGGACTTCCTCTGTCGAACCTCGTCCTTTTCTTCATTCGGCGGGGCGACTTCGGCGGTCATTTTACGCGGGGAACGAACCACGCAATCCACAAACCCTCGTCAGTCGAAAAATCCGCAATTATGGCTACCGGCGAAAATTACGGCCCTGCGATTGATTGACTAAGTCTTGTTTTGCTAAACTCAGCAAAGTCAATTAGTTTTCTGTGACCTATATCTTTTGAGTCTTTTTTTAAAATACACAGCACTGGTCCGAATCCAAACTAAACATTAAGTCGCACATATGAAAGTCCTGTCAAAAAGGTCAGAGAGAGGGAGATAAAACAGAAGCAGTCCGCTAAAGGTAACAGGGTAAGTGAGATATCAGAGAGGCCAAGACGGTTCTCACATAAAGGATGAAGATCATGTGAGGAGTGATGCAAAGCGAAACAGACGCATCTATATAAGCAGCCCAAGCAAGTCTTACAATCCCCGAAGGCATTTTCTTTGTACGGTATAGAAGTACAAGTGAGGGACAACAATCTCAACGACATGTTCAGTTGGAGGATACAAGTTTTTAAAGCATCTTTTGACCATGGGTATAAGTACTGAATAAGAGGAGCTGCGAAAGGTGTGGAGCACAAGGTGATCGCAGGATCCACCCTGTAAACAGAATGTTTCATGTGTTCGACGGGCTAGAAAGACGAGTGATTTGTTAAATCATGCGGCTTAAAGCTGAGAGCGTTTTCTTGATCACCAGGTTATCCGGGCACAATTCGTTCTCTGGTCGATTTAGCCCTCATTTCGTTTCATTTCAGTCTACTAGGGGATATAGGCGTGTGTCTATGAGTACCTTATTTGCCACGTATGGTTCTGTGCGGTGTACAGGGAAACTATGTGGCTGGAATAAGTTTTTGATTATGTTGATTATTCTCTTCTTCTCTTGAAACTCCCCTATTTCGAGGTGCATAGTAGGCTTTTGAATTCGATGGCATCATACCTGAGCGTACAATGGATTAAGGTTTCCAATGCCATCGCCAATCCTACATGCGTGAAGGAGTAGGGTGCTTGACCCGCTATTGTTTTGCTTTTTTGTCGCTGATGCGCCCGATTTGTTTCAGAATGGTAGGTTATTTGTGTTTGCCGAGGACTTGAAGTAACAGCCACCAGGAGATCTTTTTACTTGTACCTCTGGCACTTACTGTTATATATCGTCAGTTCTTTTCTGTAAACATGAATGCAATCTGAAATAAGTTGACCAAGAATGTGAAAATTCTGCAAAATTTTTCCTCATCTAAGAAAATAATTACTTGCTCATTACATTCAGAAAACGCACACAATATTTACGCACTGAATCTACCGAATAAAACTTTCGCAGTGATGGAGTTCGTGGTCTCTGACCCCTCCGCCTGGTCCCATTTTGTGCGAAATTGCGCCTACTTTACAGCCCATAACACTACGGATAATTTCTCCTGCTGACAGAAAGCAGCTGTTCTTCAATGTTCTGTTTGGTCCAGTCCCAATTTTATGAGGAAGTATAGAGGCTGAAAATATCAGATGCAATGTAAACCATTTCCTTTCTGCAACGATGAAATTTCGTGGGCTGAAGTTCTTTTCTCTTGAACCATTCAAACTCTCTAAAAACGCTACCGCATCCATCAACTTCCTCGGGAGTTGTTTCACTGCTATCATGACCGTAATCTATCTTACCTTGACAATGCATGCAAACTATCATTAAATGCAATTAGCAGTAGTAATATATACGAATTATAGAAGGGGACCTAAGATGGCGCCCTGAAATAATTCACTAGTAACAGGGAACGGTTCTAAGACCCCGCTTAGAATCTGTACTACTTTATATCGGTCTTGGATGCAGGATTAAGTAAATTCAAGAAGGAGGGACGTAGCCTGTGACTTTTAAGCCTTATTATTTGGCCTTGATGGGGGATGTTGTCAGAGACATTTTTAAGAGAGAGAGAGGCATACTGTAACTACTGAATTTCCATCATATCTGGTGTTTGGAGATGAATTCCAAGAAGTCAACACTGTAAGACTAGCATGGTTTTAAATTTGAAGATAAGAGGAGGATATTATTTTGAGTGGTTTTTCTGTGAGACCTAACGATTTTAGCCCCTGTTTTTGGTTGAATTTCCTTCAATACAGGCCTTTTCTCAAAGAACTGCCTGCTGCCATCTCCGTTTGAGTTCTGCTAGTCTATGCCTGTTGTTCACTAGTCGCTTTCTGCAATTCTCATTTTGTGCATCCGATTTCTCTCTAACTGTTGTAATTTATTTTTACATCGTTAGCCCCTAGCTGAAATTCAGTCAACTTATCTGCCAGAAGTTTTCTTAATCACAACTTGCCTCGAGACAAGATGAGACCAAAAGTCACTGGTCGACGTAAGCTCTCGGCCTCTGTAAGTAAGCGTGGCCTAACTAAACGTAAGTCAGAAGCTTTACCTAAATCTAAGTCAGATGATATTACTAGTCAGTCGTCACCCGTTGTAATTGGTCGGCAGCTTAATCTGTTTGCACTTGACCACTGCAATGACTTTATGCTAAAGTTTGGCACTTTGCTGACAATTCTTGGAAATTTATTCGATGGGAACATCTCCGATATTCCCTCTGAAGAATGTAGGCGTCTCGATTCACTTGTTCACCTGATCACCATTGAATCATGTGAAAGGCAAAGGCGTGCTTACAACTTCTTATTGAAAAATATGCCTCGATCTGCTCGGTCAATTGATGTTGCGAACAATTTCCAGTATTCATGTGGTTTCAGCTACCAAACAGCCAGTGCTAAACGCATGTCCTCCCGTAGCAAAAATCCACCCATCTTAATCAAATTATTTTCATCAATCGAGGTTGACACAATATTTGCCCATCGAGAGAGTGTCACTACGAACCTAGAAAATGCAAAATTTTTCCTTTGTCATGATCTTACTCGTATTGAGCGTAGAATCGAGTCTCTGCTCTCACGTAAGCCCACTGCTTCTCAGTCTAATGCTCCCCAACTCGGTCATAATACAAGTGGCCGTGAGGATTTAGCTTGTCCTACTCCTGCGATATCTGACTCCCACCTTCCCCTTACTTTTACATCTCCATCTCACTCAAGTCACTTGACGTATTTGCCTGCCCCTAAACGTGCAGCAGCAGCAGCAGCAGCAGCAGCAGCAGCAGCAGCAGCAGCAGCAGCAGCAGCAGCAGCAGCAGCAGCAGCAGCAGCAGCAGCAGCAGCAGCAGCAGCCCTATTTGTCGTTTCGTATCCTCCGGATAGCCCCGCTGAGACATATGAAAATCCGTCTACATCAGCTAGACCGATAACTTTCAGTTTATTTCAGTTTTTTTGGTAAGGATGATAGGCAAAGCCTTTGAAACCCCCTTGTCTCAGAGAAAATATTTGTGGGGACGTGGGGACTTAAATCAGATTCAGACTGTCGAGGGAAAACATGGGACACAAATAATCATCCCAGCGTTTCTTGAAGAGTTGCAGAGACGTAGCCTCCACGACTGACTGAGGGAGATCGTTTCATTTCTCCACTACCCTCTGCGTGAAAAATTCAGAACGAAGCTTCAGCCCGGACATTGTGGTCCGTAACTTCATCGAGTGACCACGAAGATTGGGTGGAAGGTGCCACTGAAACATGTCCTCAAATTTAAGTCCAGACTCAAGGCCATGTATTATCTTGTAGACGAGGATAAGATCACCTCTTTGCTGCCTGTAACACAGAGGGAATAAATTAAGGCAATTCAGTCTGTCCGTGTAGGATTGGCTTTTTAGACCGTTTACCAGCTTTGTTGCACGCCGTTGTACTCGTTCGAGGCATGCTTGCTCCTTTACTAGCCACGGCCGCCATGCTTGTATGCCATATTCTAAGTGGGGCCGAACAAATGTGCCGTAAACTCTCCCAAAAAGGTCTTGGTCAAAGTTAACGAAAGCCCTTTTGATTGCATGCAGCACTCCCATGGCGTTTTTTGCAGCCTTGTGGCACTGCAGTATTGGTTTCAGGTTGTTCTGTATCCAAACCCCGAGATCCTTCCGTGAACATTCTGCGGGGAGCCTTATATCTTTCAGGCGATAGGCCCTCAGGCTCTCATTTGAATTAGAGTTGGTTGGACGCAGATGAAGGACAGCACACTTCTCCACATTGAAATCTAGAAGCCATTTCTTCGACCACGCTTGCAGTCGGTGCAGATTATCTTGAAGGGATCTCTGATCATTCGGACACTTAATGACTTGCTAGAGCTTAACATCGGCTGCAAACATTATTTTGCCGCAGTCGAGTTTCTGAAAGCTGTCGTTGACGTAAAGGATGAAGAGCAATGGTCCCAGAACTGAGCCTTGAGGTACACCACTGGTCACGTTCACCCATTCTGACATATCATCCCCGACACAGACACGTTGTTTCCGACCAACCAGAAACGCCCTAATCCAGTTCAGAAGATCTCCACGGATGCCGATGGCGCTCAGTTTGTGAAGAAGACGTTGGTGCGGGACAGTGTCAAAAGCTTTGCAGGAATCGCTGTACACGACATCGACCTCAAAACCCTCTTCTACAGCCCTGGTCCAGATCTCCAGACAAGCTAGCAGATTTGAGTGGCAGGAACGTCCTCTCCGGAAGCCATGTTGAAAATCCTGCAAGATGTTATCTTCTTCACAAAATTGCTGTATAACGCTCTTTACTGTAGCTTCTATCGTTTTGCAAGGGAGGCAAGTTAAGCTTATAGGCCTTAAGCTGCTTGCTGTCATCCTGCTACCTTCGTTATGCAATGGAACGAGGTTAGCTGTCTTCCACTGTGAGGGCAGCCTTCCTGTTCTCATTGACAGCTCAAAGAGAGTCGAAAGAGGCTTTGATGGCTCCGTTGATAGCTCCTTAAGTATCAGCCCGGGAATTCCGTCGGGTGCAGGAGACTTATCGGGTTTTATTTGACTGAGGACGCGTCTGACTTCTTCGATGGAAAAGGCGACAGTTTCAATGACGGCAATATCTTGGCGCATTTGAAGCTCCCGGCTGTCTCGGTCCATTTCAAACTGCTGATTGTCTTCTGAGGACTCCTCCGTAAAAACCGATTGAAAAAACTGAG